TTAGTAGCTGTGTGAATAAGACTGAGCACCTTCTATATGCTGATACTCTTTTCTGCTTGTGGGAAAAGTTGATTGTGATAAGCATTGGCTCATTATGTAACTTCCTTATCACCACGTGCATGTGGGTGTGCTAACGTGTCTAACTGTTTAACAAAAGACGTGTAAATGTTGATCATTCAAAATACAGACATTTTACCTCTATAAATTAATAAAATACGGTAATTTACCGTAAAAATGAAAAATTACTTTTTAAAAAATTATTATTTTTAATGGTAAAGTACTGGCAACCACCGCTGCCGGTTTTTTACCGTAAACTTTACGGAATTATTTTTTACAGTGTACTGCTCAGCCTACGATTTAGGAAATATATGAAAGGCAAATTGCTGTTTCAAAATGTTTCTTAATAAAAACTATATTGTCAGCGCCAGGGATGTTGGGGTTAGTGCGTCAACACATGCACTCTGGTGGTCATAGCGAGTTCAATTCCTGCCTTGTGGTCCTATGCCATTCCTTCCCCTCTCTCTGCTCCCCTTGCTTTCCTGTCAACAATCTGTCCTATTCATTAAAGGTGAAAACAATGAAAAAAAATTGTGTTCAATGGAGGGAAAACGTTGTTGTTTTTTATGCAGACATTTAAAAAGTACATATTTTAGAGCAGTAATCACAAGGTTGTTGCTAGATGAGATACGGTTCCGGCCGGAAGTTAACGAGAATTATTTATATTATGTATCGCGTTAATTGTATTTTATTATCATCCACCCAATATATGCTCATTCTGAAAACGTGGCCCTATAAACATTTCTGGAGATCGCAAATTATGTAGCCAGAAGTACGTATGACTGCATTTCATCTTTAAAACAAATGCTACGGGGCAGTATGACGCCGTTCCTTTTCGCGCTTACCAGCTGACCGCTTACCTAGGTATGGATGACTTTCACGCTGTTACCAGTTTATCCGGTAGCTTGCTCTGTTCGTCAGCGGGCTTAAGACGTAGACAGTAGCTGACCACAACGGCTGGGTTTGAGTCTGGTTAGGAACAGTTCCAGTAAGCGATAAGACAAAAACAGAATCCAAAAAATAAAATAAACAAGTAAATAACAGGGTGAGAATGTGGTAAATCTGAAAACATGGTAAAAATCAGGCGAGGGCTTTTCTTTTTCTGGATTGCCTTTAAAAGGTTTTCGTTTGGGTTTAGGGAAGTGGGTCAATCGGTGCTTTTGAAAACAATATTGGTTGGGTCTAGGGAAGGAGGAGGGTGGGTCAGTCGATCAGTCAGTCAGTCAGTCGGTCGTTCAATCAGTCAACAGCAGCCTCTGGTGGATTTACGCGAGAACAGCAGGTGCCAATGGCACTCATGAGAGAAATTTAAGATCTGAAAAAGTGTACACAGCGGCCTCTGGTGGATTCGCGAAAACAAAAAAACAAAAACAAAAAACGTAGCTCCTAGGATGTATTAGGCGCTCTCCAGAAATGTACATAGAGGTATATTTTCAAAATGAGCCTGGATTTCATAACCCTCATTACACTACCCCTACCCCAACCATAAACCAAACCATAAAAGTAATGTAAAACAGTACTTGTACAGAGTATTATTTATGTCATTTATCAAATTACCCAATAAATTGACGTAAATTTTATTAACGTCTACCCCTAACCCAATCCCAAAATTAGGGCTTAATTTGTGCTGGAACAAGCTGGATCCAGATCAGGCACCTCTGAAATCTGATCCGCCACCTAATTTTACCGATCCCCCTCCTCACACGCACGCCCACTCTTCACTTTCTTCAACTCTCTTCGTTCGGGACTCCCCATCCGTCTTCGTGCACGACAATTTACAAATTAAGCACTGCCTAGAATCAACCCTCACAATAATGGAAAAATATAAATTATTGTTGTACAGTGTCACAAAAAGGCTGCTCTATTAATAACCGCATATATAGCCGCTGTAGACTTTACCCAATCCTGCATGCATGTATGACAAGTGTTTAGAGTTTCGTTAACACTTCTCGTGTTATCTTGGTCCTGTTCATTGCAATACATGTCTTCATACCAGAGTTGTCTCTTCATAGATACAATGTCATGATGGTACGTTAATTTGATAACATGTCATTCACTCTCCTGAAAGCCTCTCACAGATATAGCTTTATATGCATTTTAAATAAACTGTAGAACTAGTGTTTTACATATGCAATCATTTCCTAGCAAACTCCTCATAGTGTTGACCTTACACATTCCTCTGCAGGCCGCTCATCTTACACATACCACCAGTTTTCTCAAGACACATAATAGAAGATCCATAGAGACCTATATTCACTTGATTTTATGTGTTTACTATGCACTTTTGTGAATACAAATGTTAAAAACAAATACTATGGAGGTCAATAGTTACACGTTTCCAATATTCTTCAACATATCTTCTTTCGTGTTCCACAGAACAAAGAAATTCAGGTTTGGAACAAGTAAAAGCTGAGTAAATGATGACAGAATATCAATTTTTGGTTGAACTCTCTCTTTACTCGATTACTTCATGCTGTAATTGGGTTTGTGCGCAGTGGGAGATCGTGACATGCTTTGTTAATGACATGCTACTGGTTTGCGAAACAGGGCATAGTCGCCACTAGTCCTGCCTCGGGTCTCCCGCTACAGTCCCCCAATTTTGGGAGGTCACACACGCTTTCTCTCTTTGACCTTTCTGACCTTTCAACATCCAAGTGTGATTGTTCATTTTTTGAACAGGATTGAGTTATGAGCTGCTTGCTTTTTTTTTTTAAATAAGTAATACAGACCGTAAAGTCCAAAAATAGCTGCCGGAAAACAGCTCAGTGATAAAGACTGGGTGAAAGATCAAAGAGACATCACAATACAGGCACAGCCTATTGCCAAGCAACCGGGAGGAGATATGTATGCATGTTCTGTCAAAAAAAAAACAGAGTCTATTTACAGATTGGATACAAAATTTATTTCATGCAAGGTTTCATATTTACAGCTTTTCATTCGCATATGTATTTTTGCATAAAATTGCATGCATTTACCTCTCCCCAAGAAATCCCAAAAGTACACCGATTACCGTCAACTACACGATACGTCTACTGTATATAGTATATTTTGGTGTGTGTGTTGCATGTGATTTGCTACACTGTTGAACATTTAAAATGTGATATACATATGATAAATCACATCTTGATTTATGAAAAATATGGGTTTATTTGAGAAAATAAAAGCTACTTTTTGTAATAGCTGGTTTTGTAAATTTCCGCTGTTTAAATTTGCCTGCTCTGGTCGAGTTAAAGTGCATTTATTTTCACTATTTGCATGATTCATTTGTCAAAAAGCTGGATGGTCAACTCTGTTGCTGCTGCTACGAATAGATACAGGGTGTTTAAAACACACCAGAGATCATAGTTTGGGGAAAGGCAAAAATGTCTGCAAAAATAATAAGAATAAAAACAACTGCTACATATATTGTATGTCATCGTAAATGATATCATACTCTGCATCAGATATATTTAAAGAAGCTTTGGATGGAAAAAACACATACGTTTTCTTACATATTTTCAATAAACTTACATTGTTTTCTCGGAAAGTTTCCCATGCAAGGCATGCAAATGCAAATGAGGTTCTTCAGTCAAGTTTCTATGTTGGTGACGTGTGCATCACTAGAATCAGGATGGTTTTACTTCAAACTAACCTTATCTTATATCATATATGAAATAGCCATTGTGTCATCTTTTTTTCCTTTAAAAAAGGTGTCCCTTAATGAAAACCACAGCTTAAAACACTCAGGGATTGGGAAAAAAAGAAAGAGCTGTGAAGGAGAGAGAAGGGGAAGAATGAAAGTGCAGAAATGAGAGGAAAGGAATGAAACAGCGGGGATAGTGAGGGTAGATGAGATCACTGTGTGAAGTTTATTTATAAACTAATTTTGGGAGGATCACGTGCTTATGATTGCTTGCGGCTGGTCTTGCATTATCCAATTTATGATTCACCAATCAGACGACTCCTAAGCCACTATAAATACCCTAAGTTCCATATCACAGCCATCTTCGTTTTGAAGAATCCCCCCTTCCACCTCTACTCCTCCTCCTTTTCTAGATGGGTGGCACGGTGGCACAGTGGTTAGCACTGTTGCCTTACAGCAAGCACGTCACTGGTTCTAGTCCTTACCAAGCCAGCCGACATTTCTGTGCAGAGTTTACACGTTTTCCCCGTGCTCACGTGGGTTTCCCCCGGGTTCCTTCCACCGTGCAAAAACATGCAACTTAAGTTAATTGACTGATCCAAATCGGCACCATAGACATGCTCCTAATAAGTAGTTATCTTTTAAGAGCAATCAGCAGGGGAGTTCTCGAGATTTGCCTGAGCTCAAACTCCCCTCTCGCCTTGGAAACGGGAGAGAGCCCCGGGCTCTAGAATCTTATGAGCTCAGGGCTTTCTCCAAGAACAGCCAAACAAGCTTTATAATCAATCATCAGCTAAGTGTGAACTCTGGAAGTATAGGAAGATGAGAGACCATGTGGAAAAGAGGAAGTAGTAGAGGGGTAAGAACAGGTAAGCATGGGTGATGAAGAAGAAGAAGCAAGGATTAGAGTAGGAAGAGAATAGAATAGATGAGAATGGAGAAGGAAAAGGGGACATTGGTGAAAGGAGAGTCAGGAAAACATAGATAGAGGTAGAGGTAAAACAGAAAAGAAAGAAAGCAGAAACAGGAGTGGAGCCAAGAGGAATAGGAGGATGGGATAGGGAAGAGGTAGGGAAAACATCAAAAGTGATGAGGGACAGGAAATGGAATAGGAAGTAGAAATAGGGAGGAAGTTGGTGGACAAAATTGGAAGAGGAGAATAAGAGGAATGAGATGGGTTGGAAAAGAGAGCAGGAAGAGAAGAGGAGAGTTTCAAATGAAAAAGAGTTTAATGAGAGACGGATGGTACACAGTGTGAGCAGGCATCTCAGCGCAGCACTGCGGAGCGAGGGCCTCTGATTGGTTAGTTTTGTTGTCCATGCTACAGGATGGATGGGATGGGAGAGTGGACCTGCTGCATGAGACAGGGCGGGCTGCAGGGCAGGGCTGACACTGAGGCCACGCCTCCAGACATGCTGCTGTGGCTCCATGGCTTTTCATAACCTTCATTTGAAGAGAAAAAGGGCTTTCAGTAAAACCTCACAGAGCAGCCTTCAACTCCAGACAAAGACTCTCTGCCAAGGTTTGCTTATGAATAGATAAGGTTCAGAGAGTAGGTATGTGGACAGATGTGTAGTGTATGCGGTGTGCTTGTGCAGATTAGATTTGGTTAGTGCTGCCCTGTCATGTACTTGTTATGGTCATGGTTAGCCGGTTGACAGTGACTGATCGCCAAGTCAACTGCATCATCCTCCATGCGCTCTATGCTTGAAACTGTCTACTGCATGCATGGGGTAGTTTCACAGTGCTGTACAGCATAACACAAGTTCAGAGATATCAAAGAACTCAGCCAGACACATCAGCCCAACAAAGACACAACATATGTGTACCCCGTGATACCCACTTAGCTACAAGATCATGTAGTTTCTGTTAAACATGGGGCTAACTACAGAGCTAACAAGCAATTCATTTTCATTTCTCAACCTAACACTAAGCAGGAGAGGAGGGGGAGGGGGGGGGGGTGCAAATTCAGCCTCTGGAGGGCCACCTTTAATTCTTTATAAGGCTACTTGAAAACCCCAGGTAGGTGTATTCCTACAGAGTTTGGCACCCTTGTCCTAAAGTGTAGCATGAGGTTGACTACCCGTCTTGATTTCTCTGTTGAAAAGACCAGCATAGCTAGTCATGTGATATAAACTGGTACCAAATAACCCAACAGCATATTTAACTTAACCAGCGTGTCTTCATCGATCATACAGCATCACTAGAATGTTGATGATCATTAATCAGCCGGGATAAGCATAGGAAGATATGCCTATAAGTTAGTCTTTTCACAGGGTAGCAGGGATTTTCTAATGCTGTTGCTATTTTACCATGCAACTGAGAGCTTCTGACTGGCTGAGTTCTTGTCATGTGACCACATGCCCCATAACCCATGCTGCATCTCTTGTGAGATTCACCATCACCAGGACCTCCTGCCATTGTGAATCTGCATGCAAACAAGCACACTGCTAGGCAATATACTGAAGCTTATTTATTTGATATGCTATATAAAACCATAGTTTTTTAAAAACCTTGTAACTTCTTCGCTTAAACCTGGACCTTTAAATAGCCGGTCCTCTGAATCTGTCTGAAAATGTGCTGTAAATTGTACTGCATTCATGTAAATACTTTAGGAAAAGCTGGCACTGAATGTTCCTCTTAAAGATCTTGTTCAGACTGAGCTAAAACTCAAAAGAGGCCTGTTGACGGCTCACTTGAATATGTCATTTCTACTGCAGCTTTTCCTGTCAGCCTCTAGTGTAACGGCAGACCTGAGGAGCTATCAACTGCAAGAAAGAAGGCTGAGTGACAGTCGGTCGATTTGCATCGAAAGAGCATCTTTGATTGACAGCTGCTCCATTTTCAGACACAGCACTGGCAGTGCTCAGATGGCTAGCAGTGATTGGATGGTTACGTACCCTTCCTGACTCTTCCCCCAGTGTGGTTGGCTCGTTCTCCTCCCGTAAGCAGGAAGCAGGGTCTCTCGCGGTCCACCGGACTGAAGACTTCCTCGGGTGACACCGCTTGGTCGATGTGAGGACAGTCCTCATTGGCCAGGGCAGCTTTGGATGGCTCCCCGTTCACTTTAAAATCTCCAGTCACAGGCAAAGAGAGATGACTTATTACAGACTGATGCAAGGTGACATGCAGGATTTATTTCAGGGTGTCAAAACGGTGACATCCTGAAAATCAAACCGCTCTCAAGTTCAAACCTGCTGGTGTATGAATAACATTTCTGCAAGGAAGATATTAGGGTTGTCATTATACTTGACTTCAGTACCAGTCGATGCTAAAACTTTAAAAATGTCCTTAACAGTTGAGCGATGTTGAGCACATTCTTAAACACAGCTGAACTGCCATTGTGTTCCCTTGCTCAACAGAAATGACTGTGAATGGCGGTGAAGGTCATCAGTTCACCAAACTCACCGCTGTGAACTGAGTGTAACCACAGGTGTAGGGACACTAGAGCATTTTAAGTACGAGATTCATTAGCAGATCACTCATGTGTCAGCTTGTAGACCTACCAGCAGATTAACATGACTTTGAAACACTCCAGTGTCCCTGTATCAGTGGTTACACTCAGTAAACAGTGGTGAGTTTCACAGTGATTTCCGTTGAGCATGTAAACTCAATGGCAAATCAGCGCTGTTTAAGAGCTTAAATGTTAGCAAGACATGAACTTTTCAGTATTGATTGGCACTGATTTCCAGTATTGTGACAACCCTAGAAGATAGACTCCTTTCCCACCATGCATGATTTTACACCTAGTCATATTCCCCTGGAAGTCCTATTGTCCTGTTATATTGTGTTTGGGATCAGGGGTACACAATCCTGTTTCTGGTGGCCCATTATTCTCAACCCTAACACACTTCACCCAATTCATCTCTTTCAGTATTACCTGAACACAAAAGCATGCTTGTTGGAGCACGGCTGGCCCGGAATTTATAATACTTTGCATCTCCAACAACAGGGATAATTACCTCTGACCTAGAAATACGACCACTACAATTTGGATGTCCAAAAGTACAACTTGACTTGACTAACTGAAATCTAATTAGTAAACTGATGTCTTCTTCAGCGTGCACTGCAGCAAACGTTTAAAAAAAATTCCTAACAGTTTGGATATTTAACTTATGCTCAGTTCAGACTGCATGATTTTCAAAGTAGCCGTGTCACCGATGTTTTCACACTGCATGACTATCTGGGGTAGTGTTTCGTCGGTGCTGTATTTACACTGTAGGATTGGTTGGCGAAAGGGGGTTTCACACTGCATGACTCTAAAATAGAAAGAATAGCCGACAACTTTGTCCAAACTACATCTCACGACCAAATACACACGAGAAGTGACATGGAAACAATGCAAGGTCATGTAAAATATCTTTCGTTATTAACTACATAATGATAAAGAAGCCTTTAGGGGAGGGGTAGAAAATTTACTTATTTTGCTCATCTGGCTTTTAAAGACAATTAACAATCTCTCCTCAACTTTTTTTATTTTTCGATCCGGTTGTGGTATTGCTCAGATGATACGTCAAACAGTGCTACACTCAAACGTCAAACGTCCACTATTTTTCCTCCATTTCTTGGGTTCAAATAAACTGAAAATAAGCACTTTTAACTTCTCTCCCAACCTCCTGCTGGCCTGCAGGTAGCCATACTAGTAGATGCTGCTCTCTCATTAGCTGTAGGTGATCGCCAATGGTATTTTCAATCAGAATACATTTTAGACGGCATTGTTTGAATCGTCGACAGCTCCAGATATTTAGCATGCCAAATATCTCACGGGCGTCAGCGACTCATCTGCGATTCTCTCAGATCGACCTTGATAGTTCATACTGTGTGATTGCCACTCGCGTGATTTAACACCGATTTGCCTTTGATTTCAGGCATTTCTCAGCGATTTATCAAAACCTGTTGCCGAGTCAAAATCAGGGCTAAAATCATGCAGTTTGAACTCTGCATTAGAGCCCCTTTCACAAAACCATTGCCCCTTCCTTAAAACACACCATGACCTGTTTTTAATGGGTTCTCAGCATTCTCTGACAGGATAAACTCTATTGTGTGTAGTTGCTATTAATTACTAGGTCTGACTACCTAATTTAGATGCTTCTGAAAACGTAGTAGTAGAGACGGATGGTACACAGTGTGTTATTACTACTAATAACAATTAGCACTTTGAAAGTTTAGTCACATCTAAAGCTCAGAACAACAGCAGAGATTAAAAGAGTAACAACAACAACAAAGGACAACAGAGACATATTGATAGAAAGAATAGTTCCTACCTGGGTATCTGATCTCTGAAACCTCCTCCTGAGCCAGGGGACATGTGTCGCTGTGTGTGCTGGGTCGTGGAGAGTTAACAGCTGACCTGCAGTAGTTGGGAGACCCCAGTAGAGGCGGTCGTCGGATATGTTTGTTCTTTTTCTTTGGTAGTTTTTGCTTCGCCATGGCTAGGGAGTAGTACATGCCGAAGTTGTTCACAATTACAGGAACAGGCATAGCAATGGTCAGCACACCCGCCAGGGCGCACAGCGCACCCACTAGCATTCCAGATGTTGTCTGAGGGTACATGTCGCCATAGCCAAGGGTTGTCATGGTTACCACAGCCCACCAAAAGCCAATAGGGATGTTCTTGAAGTGCGTGTCGCTACTAGCATCAGGATCATTAGGGTTTCTTCCGATACGTTCGGCATAGTAGATCATAGTGGCAAAGATTAAGACTCCGAGTGCAAGGAAAATGATCAGGAGGATGAATTCATTGGTACTGGCACGGAGTGTGTGCCCTAGTACCCGCAAGCCCACAAAGTGTCGCGTTAGCTTAAAGATACGAAGAATTCTGACGAATCGAACCACACGAAGAAAACCCAACACGTCTTTCGCAGCTTTGGAGGATAGTCCACTCAATCCCACCTCAAGGTAGAAGGGGAGGATGGCCACAAAGTCGATGATGTTAAGGGTGTTTCTCAAAAACTTTAATTTGTCTGGACAGGTAGTCACTCGTATTATAAACTCAAAAGTAAACCACACAACGCAGACTCCCTCAATGTAGGTTAACTGCACCATAGTTTCCGTCTCAGGGAAGATACGCTCCACAGTTTCATTGCCCTCCATATAGGTCTCTGTACGGTTGATGATGGGATTGAAGGCCTCATGAGTCTCCAAACAGAATGTGGTAATGGACACCAAAATGAAGAACAAAGATGCAAATGCTACCCACTGAAAAGAAAAGAGAGAGACAGAGGTTACATTCGTGTTCCACCAAAGCAAAGGCTTATACAGGAAAACATGGCAGAATGACAGAAAAAACTTTTAAAACACTCAGTTGTGCCTTAAATAGGTTTTAAATAACTTCAAAGCAGACTAAAATAAACCGATCACATGAGTCCATTTCAGCAGAACTCTTCAGAAGTACACTTGGATAACGTCACATCTTAAGTTTCTCAACGTGCTTCTGAAAAATGCCACATCAGCAAGCGGGGAGCTTAACAAAATTACATTTGCTGTTAGAACTCAAGGTCACTGCGTTCACAAGGACAGAATGGAAGAAATGAGGCAACAAAACTGCCCTCCATCACATTGGGATAATTTTAGCCATGGTCTCCCACATCAGGGACTCCTAAGTCGCCTCTAGCAAGGTTGTCACATGCAGATTTGGGGAGCTGCTCCCTTTAGTGATTTGAAAGAGGATGGGGAAGCTTTCTCCGTTTACACTGCAGCTTGCTCTACAAGAGACACCAACAGGCATGGACAGATGGAAGTGGATTTCAGTAGGGGAGCCCCACCACAGGATGACGGAATACTGTGGTGGAATTACATAAGTGCAAGTTGGCCACGTTTTCCCTGCCATGGGATCTTCAGACAACTGTGAAAGGCTCCATCCATTATGTATATTGATTACTTTCTTGAAATATTAAGTTAAGATTGTAAATCAAATCACGCAATAATCAAATATTAAAGGAGTGAGAAATGTATCCAACATAGATCAAATTGAGTGCATTTTTGGAAGTCATGGTAATTGTAAAACAATAATAAGACTTGGACGAGTATGAGCACATATCTCCAGCTCTTTCCTCTCTGGGCTGGCTGCCTGTTTGGTCACGGATTGACTTTAAACTATTAATTTTTGTTTTTAAATCTTTAAATGATCTTGCACCAGCTTACTTATCAGACCTCCTACATGTATATAATCCTGGTAGGTCATTAAGGTCTTCTGATCAGTTTATTCTTTCGGTACCTAGGTCACGGTGTAAACGAATTAGGGGTCGGGCTTTTGCTGTTATTGCCCCAAAACTCTGCAACAGGCTTCCACCCCACATCAGACACACTCCGACTATATCTGTTTAAAGAATTCACACTTAGCTCATGACTTACGAAAGCTCATTGGCATGCTGTCCCAGGAGAGAGCCCTGAGCTCAAGGCATTCCTCGAGTCCAGGGCTCCCTCCCTTAGTGGGGCGAGGGGATCTCAAAACTCCCCTGCAGCTAAGGCCAAGTTGAACTTCCTAAGAGCGAGACAACTAGTAAAAGAGACTTAGGTTTAGAAGGTCTATAATGCAGAGCAAATTTTAGACTTTGGGAGAGAACTGAAACCCCCGGGGGGGAAACATGCCAGCACCACGCAGAGATACCAGAAGCTCAAATAGGGAGCTAGAGCTATTGAAATTCCTGCTGGTTGCTGGGCCGCTGAGCCACCTATTTTGGATAAAGGTGGAAGAAAGGGGGGGGGGGGATTCTTCAAGACGAAGATAGTTGTAAGTGGAAAAGGAGGAGATACATATAGGAACTAGGGATCCTTAATTGTAGGATCGTGATTAGCTAATATGAGCCAGCTGGTTTAATCATGAGCACGTACTCCTCTCGAAATTAGTCTAATAAATTAAACTTCACTTAAAAAAAAAACATCTGAAACTCCATCTTTGTTCTAAAGGATTTGGGCCTTTTTTAATGTTGAGGGGTTTGCCTTCTGTTTTAATTGTTATGTATGTGATGTAGGTTGTATTTTAATTAGTATTGATTGTGTTCAGCACTTAGGGCAACGTTGTTTTGTAAAAAACGTGCTATATAAATAAACTAACTAGCTATTCCTAAAGATTCTTGAATTATCATACATGCCTTTAGCATAAAAACAATATAAATCCCAAGCCACTACTAACAGTCATGTGTAGAACCTTGTTTAAATGACAAACCCCAAGTATTAACAAAGCCCCTAGTGCATAATGTTACTTGCCAGCACTTAATTGGTTATTTCATTGGTTATTTTCTTGTCTCATCATGTGTTTCTGTCTGTCACCCAGGCCACTACCGTGCTTGTTTCATCTACTGCTGTCCCTAATTGGCTGTTTTGGTTGTCCTGGCTGAAACTAATCCTGTTACTGCTGCTTTCTGATTGGTTTCTGCTTCTCCAGTCCCAGCTAATCCTCACATGTCCTTTAAAAAATGGCCTTCAGTCCTGCAGTTGGTCAGTCTTTGATTTTCTGTTTAGACTGTCTTTGGTTGTTAGTATTTTGGCTTGCTGTGTATTTGTGCTTTGCTAGTATTTTGAAAGCTTGAAATCCCTGTTTGTTGATATTGTTTGGCTTTATTTGATTTACACTTTGTTATTGTTGTTCAAGTTTGTTCTTACTGTACCTTACATTGCCCACTTATATTTCCTCGTGAGTCTAGAAAGGCTGGTAGGTGAGTACGGTTTGTCATGTGACAAACATGTCAACACATAGATTAACCTTTTTCTAGATTCTTAATTGTTTATGTTTAAATTACTTAAATATGTAAAAAGTTAACTTAATTCCTTAATGTTGACAAATTGATTGTGTGGAACCCAGCATTTTTTACAGTGTACTCTTAAGTTAACATTTTTGTGAGCGATTCACTCAAACGATTAAAAACTGGGCTCACTCATGAACAGATTGAATCATCACTGAAACAAAAACAATTACAAACGGTTCTGAGTATGTACAAGGATATGCTTTCACAAGCATGCATCAAATAACATTTTTACGCACACATATATCATGTTTCAAACCATTGATATTCCTGATATGCCTCTGGTTCTGACGACTGGCAATACCTTCTCTGGTTCATTCTATCACATAAATTCTTTCTCCACAGGCGGTTTATAACTGGGTCAGCCAGTGCTTAGTCTAGCAGACACTATTCCCTAGATGTGCTTCGTTTCCTGTGTTTGTGGGGAGGAGAAGCATTTTGTCTGAGGAAGCCTACAAGCACACCCATAAAACGCTCCTAAATAATGGCTTTTCGCCAATCAGTAGGATCACTTTGACCTGAAGAAAAGATTTGGCAGGTGGAGAACTCCGTTCATCAGCTAAAAAACATCTTTATCCATTGATGACCCCATAGAAATTATTCTCTGATTCATCGAGAGTAGACTAAATGATAGCACTTTATCATAATGAATCTCGGAGGGAATTCACCTGGCTGTGTTATCATTAGCTGAACATTAGTCAACAAAGAAGTCTCCTAACAACTTCAATGTCTTCTAACAAAGTCCACTAACAACCGAACAACCATTCTTAGACTAAGAATCAAGTTTGTTTAGCGCATTATGCACTGGAAAATGTAAAGCTCTTAAATGTAATTTAAAGACTTGCTACTGTAAATCTCACATTCATTCATTTATTTTCTTGTCGGCTTAGTCCCTTTATTAATCCGGGATCGCCACAGCGGAATGAACCACCAACTTAGTTTTTACGCAACGGATGCCCTTCCAGCTGAACCCCATCTCTGGGAAACATTCACACACACACTCATACACTACGGACAATTTAGCCTACCCAATTTACCTGTACCGCATGTCTTTGGACTGTGGGGGAAACCGAAGCACCCAGAGGAAACCCACGTGAACGCGGGGAGAACATGCAAACTCCACACAGAAATGCCAACTGAGCCTAGGCTGGAATCAGCGACACAGCGACCTTCTTACTGTGAGGCGACAGCACTACCTACTGCGCCACTGCTTCGCCTAAATCTCAAACACTTTTTAAAATTATTGTTTGCTTCAACATGATCCGTGCTAATTATTAGCGTTGTATATTTTGCTGTCAGGACCGTTATAGAATGTGATGCATATCTCACAGAAATACATTCAACACACATTGTAGATATGTACCCCTGTCTATATTTTTGGAGTGCACGTATTAAGTAGCCAGAGGTATGTCTGGCTCCATTTCGTCTTTAAACGAAAGCTACAGGGTGGTACAATGCCACCAATGGCTTCTGTTAATTGTAGAACTACCAGCTGACGTCTTACCTCCGTACGGACAGCTTTTCTGGTGTTACCCAGAAGCTCGCCACATACATAGACAGACTTGAGATGCGGAACAGAGTTGACCACAACGAATCGCGTTGTGTCTGGCGAAGTACGGTTCCAGAAACCAGGTAAAACAAAAACAAATAAAATAAATACATAAATTAAGGTTGAAAGCGTAATGTCTTATCTTTTTCTAGATTGCTTTTGAAAACACTATCGGTTGGGTTTAGGGAAAGGAGTGAGTGGGTCAGTCGATCGACAGCAAGCTGGTCGGGTCGGCTGAAGTGTATATTGCGCTCTCTGGTGGATTTACGCAAGAAGAGGACACACAAGAGCAATTTGTGATCATCAAAAAGCATACACAGCGACCTCTGGTGGATTTACAGAAACTGTGAGCAGATGTACCTGAGGTTACGTATTTCGCTGGCTCCAAAAATGTAGACCTGAATACATATCCGCAATGAGTCTGGGTTGAATTTATTAAAATCCATCCAGTCAGATGACTTCTTCAAAACTCCTCAAGTTGCGACGACTTCAGAACTCCTACACTTGCGTACCCTATTTATCAAACATTCATTCAGTAGTTCATAGGTTGTATGAGTTGAATGAGTCCATTTGATGTCCGAGACTAAGATTAAATCATTTTTGTCTCAAAAATGGCAGTTTAAATTTCACTTTTAACAGGGAGGATTTGAACTAGAGGGTTTGTGTTAGTGCCATGACCCTGATGGGAGTGAGGTTAAGGTTGTGACTGTAACCGATCCTATTTAGTAAGATGTATGCAGGTAAACCTCACTCCCTTAGAAAATACACTAGTAACTGACACTAGAGTCTGTAGTCTTTATCATAGCTACTAGCATCACAACTTCCCTCATGCCTTTGCAAGCACACTTGTCAAATGCTGCATCCTAATTCTCATACTATCCATCCCAAACAATATTCAAAAATAGAATTAGTATGTCCCAAACCATAGTATGTTGAAAAGAGTATGCCAAAGCGGTCCCTTTAAGGCAAGTCATTTCACTTGGCAGCCATCTTTGAAATGCTACTCAGGCAGTATGCGCTGGCATTTTGTTTGAATGGGGAAACATTAAATTCTCCAAAACTACTTGCCAAGCTTACATTACATTTCATATTATGAATAACCAGTAAAATTAAACAACTGTCTATTTAGTTTTATTTCAAAATGTTAGTATCACACAAAATCTGCAGAAACTCATGTCTGGTCCAACCTCCTCCCCCAGAGAATTGTCATCCTATAGCGATCGCTGATTATCTACTGTACTAGAAGGCGGGCTTTATTCACAATATGGCGATCGCTGATAGGCTCTTGTTCTTGAAGGTGGGGCTTTATTCGCCATATTGACAGTTACACTTTTCCCCACTTAAAAGTATAAAAGTGACATGTCTTGTGTATTCTAGAGTCTTTGTCTAAAGGTTCCTGAATGATTTACTATTTCCGGTATTCGAAAATATTCAAATTGTAGAAGCGACCATACTCTATCTGCTAAAATTACCCATAATACTTTGCATGTTGGTCGTGAATTTAAATAGAACTAAAAATTCGAGTAAAAAGTGTAAACAAACATGGCTGACACACGAGACTAACCGTCAAGTAGAGATGCGTCAGTAAAGTTGTTTGAATGACTAACACACTAACTGGAACATTTAAACCGCATTTTCCGTGTTGTATTTTATCTGATTATCAGATTTTATCAGATTATCCTGCTGCTGCTGCTTTTCCAATATGGTTTGGTTGGTGAATATGAAGAGAAATGTGGATGATGTGTCGAGATGATTGACAAGGGACATAACTAAGCAACAAAACTATCTGTTAATAGGACGTATTATGTCCCAAAGCTTGCATACTCTTCTGTTACACACTTTTAGGGCGTATAGTATAAGTATGTGAATTGGGACGCAGCAATTGATGCTGGTTGAAAGCCAAGGGGCTACATCAGCAGTATTTTTATCAGCATATATGATCATTTTCCATGTGCACTCTTGTTATTGGCCAAAAGTGAATGGCTGTCATTTTATACTGTAGATGCGTGCCATTGCACCTGAAACTTTTGAGTGTTGTTGGTTTGTATGCAATATGCATCAGTTGGTCAGTGAACAGACTGGAGGCAAAAAAACCTGTTAATAATTCATCATGGTAGGATTACATCACCATCGCTGCTTTCTCTGTCCCTCACAAAACCTGGTAGTGCTTTGAATTTTGTGTAATTCACGCCAAAATAACAAATGTTACCTCAAAGATTTGTAAAATCTTTGCTTATTCGCCACAGACTGAGGGCGAACGCCCATTCTCATGACCTTGCAAATCCCAGAGGGCAAAAGTTTGATCCATGAGAACGTTTTATCCTCACTCTCCCATTGATCAAGATAAACACAAGAACGGCTTGATCCTCTTGATCTCAGGGGACAAAACATGATCCGTTTCCCCCTTTCTGCCCTCCAGTCACACTCTGAGGACTTCAAGTGACAGTCCGTTTTGTGCTTGATCCCGAACATCTACTGTATTACTTGCTTACATTTTTATCCTGTTTACCAGTACTTGAGAAGTCAATATATAAAGATATTTAAAGTCTTTTGCAAGCGTAGGTTGATCAAGTAAATTACCCAATACATTTTGTGAAACTGGTATACAAAGCGTGGCGACGCAGTGGCGCAGTAGGTAGTGCTGTCGCCTCACAGCAAGAAGGTCACTGGTTCAAGCCACGGCTGGGTCAGTTGACGTTTCTGTGTGGAGTTTGCCTGTTTTCCCTGTGTTCGTGTGAGTTTCCTCCGGGTGCTTCGGTTTCCCCCACACTCCAAATACATGCGATACAAGTGAATCGGGTAGGCTAAATTGTCCATAGTGTTTGAGTGTGAATGAGTGTGTGTGGATGTTTCCCAGAGATGGGTTGCAGCTGGAAGGGCATCCGCTGCATAAAAACATGCTGGATAAGTTGGCGAAATAATAAAAGGATATTATTATATATGTGCAGGTTTACTGCATGTAGGTTTCATATATGCGCATATATCCTCATATAGGTTCTCTCCATGTGGGGCATGTCAGTAAATATCATGTAAAATGACATTCAAACTCACATTATTAGCATTAACTCTGAATAAAGCACATGAGGTGTACCTGAGGTGATCGTTGTTCAACTGTGAGAAATAGAAGGCGTTTAAAAAATATATATTTCAGGTGTTCATTAGAACAACAGCTACTTTTAATATGCAAAATATTCTTTCTATTGCGTGATGTTGCTTTTAGTTCGAAAACGGTTCAAATCAGCCTTTAAGGCCCGTGCACACCGAGACGTTTTTTGCTTGCGTTTTCTGTCGACGTTTAACGCCTCGTGAATAAATAAAAGGCGTCAATGTGATCGTGCACACCAACGCACAAAACGCCAGGCGCAAAAGCGTCATTTAAAAAAAAAAACATTCTCGTTTTTTCGGTTTGACACGCCACGTCAAAACCTTCTCCGCCAATCAGATCGCCACTTTTGTTCACGTGCACGGAGCTGCTGAAGTTACAGTAAACAGCACTTGGAGGTGCTCAAGTGCAAAACTGTCAATGTGAGCGCACATTGAAGAAGCCCAGAGGCGATATGAACGTTTAGCTGCTTCTTGCTCTTGTGAAC